TATATATATATATATATATATATATATAAATATATATATATAATGCTGTTTCATCTTTTAAAATGTAATGGATTATTATTATTATTATTAAAAATAAATGTATCTTGTTCTAAAGATGTTTCGATATTTTTACTGAAGAACAAAGCAAAAACACTGAATAAAAATAATTTTTTGCAGTGTAAAAATCTAGATGTTGCACCATGAGGCCTGGAAAACGTAATAAGATAAATAAATACTGAAATGTAAAAGGTTCTAAATTGTCTGTGGTCAAACGCAAGGCTTTCATTGGTGAGAATGCAGCAGAGGATGTTGGGTGAGTGGACGGTTCAGACAGTCTGGTTTAGCGTGCGGTCAGTGACCCGAGGCTGTTGGCTCAGCTCATTGAGGCAGGGGCACTAGGACCTCGACGTAGTTTATGGGGAAGAAGCCCGATTCGCCGTTAATCATGCCTTCATACCAGTTCTCATCGATCTGATTGGTGAGGATGATGATGTCGCCCTCTTTGAAGCCCAGCTCGCCCTCGTTCTCTGGATCAAAGTCGTAGAGCGATCGACAGCAGGGCTGGTCCAAGTGTGACTCCATCTCTGCAAAGAGGAAAATACAACCACCACACACATTTAAACATTTGTTAAAGTTCACCCATTCACTAAAATCTGTCATTTGCCCATATGTGACCCTGGACCACAAAACCAGTCGTAAGTGTCAATTTTTCGAGATTTATACATCATCTGAAAGCTGAATAAATCAGGTTTGTTAGGATAGGACAATATTTAGCCCGAGATACAACTATTTGAAAATCTGGAATCTGAGGGTGCAAACAAATCTAAATATTGAAAAAAATTGCCTTTAAAGTTGTCCAAATGAAGTTCTTAGCAATGCATATTACTAATCACAAATTAAGTTTTAATATATTTACAGTAGGAAATTTACAAAATATCTTCATGGAACATGATCTTTACTTAATATCCTAATGATTTTTGGCATAAAAGAAAAATCAATAATTCTGACCCATACAATGTATATTTGGCTATTACTACAAATATCCCCCAGCGATTTAAGACTGGTTTTGTGCTCCAGGGTCGCATATGCTGCATTTTTAATTTTATGATCTTGTCCTACAATGTTCACAGTGACCACGGCTGTCAAACCAGTGTCATTTTAGTACCATTGATATGCTATTATAGTTTTTGTTAATATTTTGAATCAGATTTTATGTAAAAAATGTTGCTGTGCATTTTTGTCAAGTTTTTGTTTTTAATATAGTTTTCAAGTTTTACATTAGTTAATATACTATTATAGTTTTTCTTAATATTTTGAATTAGACTTTATTTTTTATATTTGTTGTCATTTTTAAAGTTCAGTCATTTTGTGTTGTGTTTTTGTCATTTTTATTCGTTTTTCTTATGTTTTGGTTTTAGCTTATTTAGTTTTAGCTATTTTAGTACTTCAACTTGAACTAGTTCCTTTATTTTTTTACTTTATTTAGTTAATCTTTCTTTTAATTCAAGTAATGGATTTTTTT